ACTGCCAACAAGTAAAGTAATCTGTGCTGTGATGCAAAGCTCCTTGTATCAAGGAGGAGCTGAAAAGAATAGATGTCTAAGACTGAGATAGCAATGTCCTATCTGGAGCTTGTTGGAACACTCCAGGCATTGAAAATTCCTGTGAAATGCTCTGAAGTTTCTGGGGAGAATTTTTCATGCATTTGTTCATCACAGGTCCATGCTATTTTACACACACCAATTTTGACCCGGTTGCTAGAGCTACAGAGTCTACACAGCTGATGATCTGGCCATCCTTTTCATAACTGGCATCTGCCTAGCTTACTCAAAACATTACTTTCATCTCAGTGCTCACATTCTCCTTATTTCCCCAGGCACAGGCTGTACTTTTTAACTTATCCCCCTCCATGTCCTTTGCTTTTATCTATGTGATTTTTCCATAACTCCTTTTACTCTTGGAACTTGAACCATTTTTGGAACATAGTTCCTTTGCCAAGCAACACTTTCATTCAAATCCCTTTTAACACACGTTTTCTGGGATACCTACGAAAGCCATGGGCAGAAGAACATTCGATACATCTGTATCACTCTACAAATCAGACCATCATCAAATCCTCCCTTTATATATTATAAAGTGAGTAAGTCCACTTTATAAATTGAACAAATGAATGTACAAAGCAAGTGGTCTAGGTGGACTTTATTTATATATTTTATATTTATATTTTATGTATAATATAGTAAATGAATATAAACAGTACTGGGAGAGTAATCATCAGTATGTGCATGTGTGTGTACAGCATTATCTGGTTAATTAAAAATGTAAGATCTAATAGGACAGAAACTATGCTTTCCTTTAGGGCTTCACCAGCACTATTGTTGCCATGAATCCTCCATAATTTATAGTTATTTACGGAATATATAAAAGTGGCTGGTGTCTTTGGATGCCCAATTTGAGATGCTTTCAAAAGGCCAAACTTTTGAAAAAAAACAAGGTTCTTTAAAGTGCCTTACAAAGGAATGTAAAAATTGATTCACTTTTGAAAATAAGGGCTATATAATTATACATTTAGCAAGTGTGAAATTAAAACAAATAAGCAAATCTAAGGAGAGGAATAAACTATATGCAGAGTACTGCACTGGAATAGTTGGAGGGTAATAACTAAAAAACAAAGCGAAACAAAAAAACCCCACATGCATAAATACCAACAACATCCTTGTAAGCAAATGTAAGATGAGAAGCTTTCTTCTGTATGCTAAGTGGAGGGGTGAAACCCCGTCTTATATTTGAGTAAATACAGTACATTTGTGGCTTGTTTATTATAAGACCTATTATTTATTAGTACTAACTGGGCTTTTCTTTTCTTTTTTCTTTTGCTGCATTATGTTTATTGAGGTATTCAGACATCAGCAACAAAATCCAAACTTCTAATCTCTCTGTCTACTGGTGAGGTTCTGATTTCCATACCAGAGTTCTGTCAGATAGTAAAATCAATGCAAAAACCAAACAACAAAGAACAAAGAACACACCCTTGTCTAACTGCACTGGTAACATCAGACTAGTAGGTTAAGCCTTGGCTGGAGATCATAGTACATTTGACATCTTGATAAAGGCTCTGGAAGATCTGGATAATTTTACAAGGAAAGCTGTAGATTTACAGTATCTGCCAAAGATACATTCTATCTGTGCTGTCAAAAGTTTTTTAAAAGTCAATGAAATTTAAGATGAGTGGTGGCTGCCTTTTATTGCTTTATCTAACAGTATTCCGTAGTGTGAAGATATAATCAACAGAAGACCAGATGGAACAAAACCAGCTTGTTCTCAAAATTTGCTTTTGAGAAAACTACACCTTCTGATCAGAATAACTGTAGAGAAGAGTTTCTTAGGGATTGTCAGTGGTGTAATTCCACAGTTATTTGGATCTCCTTTCCTAGAGAATTTTATGATGATCCTTTTTTTTCCCATTCTTCTGAGGTGGATTTTGTCTTTCCTATTCAATTATGGGAGCACCATCTAATTTTCTTGCCATTTGAAAGTTTGCAGTTATTTTATTCTGGCCTGAAGTTCTTTAGTTTGCTGACAGATGCTTTTAGATTCCCCAAGGTGATTCCCTTGTAATTCTTTCTACATTTAGGGACCCCTTTATCTAACAGAAGCTATTCACATACAGTCAAAGGGAGAATAGATTCTTTAGAGCAGTGATTCTCAACCAGATTGCCTGGCTGCTCCACTATCTTCCATTGCCTGCCCCCTCTGCAAGGAGATAAGCCCTTTAATACATACATTAGTTTTTTAAATGGGGTGCTGCTCAATTCACAAAAGTTATGGAGGAGTGCCTCAAGACTGAAAATGTTGTGAACCACTGCTTTAGAGTTACATTAGATCAGGAGTGGGCAAAATATGGCCTGTGGGCCAGATCCAGCCCACCAAGAGATTCAGTCCAGCCCACAAGTGGATGGCTCCTAACTCATTGGATCTAGCTCACAGGCAGCCAGTGGCTCTGGCCACCAAATGATGCTGGGTGGGTGAGCAGGATTGCTTCTGTCCAGCAGCACTGGGCATCAGCTATGGACCCAGGCAGGGCTTCTGCTGCAGAGTGTCGGCTGCAGTATCAGCTGTGGAAGCCATGGGCAGGTTCAGGAGCCCAGATGAAGAACCTGCCAGCAGCACCCATAGCTGACCCGCCGCCCTCTCAGTGCAGTGGAATTTCCCACCTGGAACCCGAACCCAGAACCTACCAGTGATGTCAGCTGTGGCCCCAGGTAGGAACTGCTGTTGTGCCAGGTATCTGTTTCTCTCTGTCTCTTCTCTTCCCTTCCCCTCCCTCCGAAGCTGAAGTTTGCCAGGAGCCCCAGTGCTCAGCTGTGGACCCAGGCAGGAGCTGCTGTCATGCCAGGCAGGCATCAGCATCAGCTGTGCCAATCCTAGGAACACTTGAAACAGTGGTTTGTCAAAACTCATTAAAGTTACTGGAAAGATTCTCAGTAATTTTAGCAAAAGTAGGTCATGTTCCACTTTCCAGAGCTCTTCAGCTTCTGCTCCCAAGATTGGCATTTCCTGCCACCATTTCTACAACTGTTACTACTCTGAGCAGTGTACTTGGTTGGTGCTAGGGTGACCATCATAGAGGACATTCCAGTTTTCTGCTACTCTGTCCTCTATTGATATGAAACCCGATGCCTTTATGTCCTCTATTTTCCTCTTCAAGAAAAATAGAGGACAAAAAGGTGTCAGCTTTCTTATTAATAGAGGACAGAGGACAACTGGACTGTCCTCTATGATGGCCACCCTAGTTGATGCCCATCAGGAAAGCATAAACAGAAAGATTAAAACATTTATATACTCAAACCTGATACCATAAAATAGCAAGCTAACAGTAGTGTAATGAATTCAGGATACCAACAGTGCTGACTGTCAAACAAGGTAATTATGTATAATAGTAACTGGTATTTTATAAAGCCCCCCTCATCCAAAGAGATCAAGGTACTTAACAAGTTTCACAAATTTAGGAACAAAATATATGATCAGAGGATTATTCCATCCAATGCTGAAATGCAGCCACTTGTGTGACAGTAGCTAAGAAAACTAACACTGAAGGACAAATAGTGAAGAATACCGTATCCAGTTAAAACCACAAGGGGAATTTATGTACATTTTATCCCAGTTGGAATTTGCTCTAGCCCCCAAGGCTAACACTTCTAACCTTGTGAAAAACCTTCTAACTACCACTCTCTACTTCTAACCTTGTGAAAGTGCCATACATCTTAAAACCATCAGAGATGATCTAGCAGATTAACTATGAAGCTGGACATCAGGAACCCTCCTAGAGCAAGATCTGCAATGCTGTGCATCTCTAGGACATCCAATACGAGTGTGATTCTTGTTGCATAGATTTAGATTACCAGGATTATTTGGATCAGGGTCGTTGACCTACAGCCTTCAGGCTGGATTCAGCCTGCAGATGTAGAGCTTCTGTAGCATCCAGAAGCTGTACGGCCATGGGTTCAGCAGCAGTCACTTTCCCTGTGCCACCACGGCAAAAAGTGCCAGTGTTGGCTGGGGCCTAATGCCCACCCACCTACCTACTCCTGACCTGAACTGAGTCACTCCAGCTCATAGCCCAACAAGGTTGTTAATCTCTGATTTATATGTAACACCCCCATGCATGCTGGTTTGTATATTGTGTGCTTTCTGTGTGTGTATTTTGATATGGGCAAGATGGCCCCTGTTGCTCTGGCCCTGTGTTCTGCACATGACAAGTGGGGCCTATATCTGGGAAAAAGATAAAAAACCCTCCAGCCCCATTGGCCAAAAGAAGCAGAGGATGCTTCAGGCAGATTGGTGGGGAGAAAAACTAAAATGTGGCCCACCCTGATTGGACAAGGCATGGATGATGTCACACCAGGTATATAAGAATCACTCAGTAAGGTTCTCTTCCTCTTTTTCTCCTGGGGCTGTTGAGAAATGCACAGCTACATTAGGAGTCAGAAAACCTGCTTCCTATGGAGGGGTCTCTTTCCCCTTTTTGCTGGACCAGGTAGAGGGAGAGAAAACCTGTTTTGGAGTTTGAGACTCCTATTCTCTCTTTCTTTTCTTTTTTTCTTAAGTGGAATTAACACCATGGGGGTATTAATCCCTGAGCAACCTGCCCAGGAATGGGTCCTAGCAGTTACTGGCTGCACAGGCTTTACATGGGCCACAGGGGTGTTACTCACTGGAGCAAACTGCCCAGGAATAGCATTTTAGGAATGCTAGGTATTCCATTTTTATTCAGAGGATTGCAGCATCTCATTCAATGGACACATTCCCACATAGAATCATAGAAACATAGAAAATTAAGGTTGGAAGGAACTCAAGAGTTCATCTAACCCAACCACCTGCTCAAAACAGGACCATTCCCAACTAGATCATCCCAGCCAAGGCTTTGTCTAGCTGGGTCTTAAAAATCTCCAAGGATGGAGATTCCACCGCCTCTCTGGGCAACCTGTTCCAGGGCTTTATTACCCTCCTTGTGAGAAAGTTCTTCCTAATATCTAACCTAAAGTTCCCTTGCTGCAACTTGAGACCACTGCTCCTTGTTCTGTCGTCTTCCACCATGGAGAACAGACTAGGTCCATCCTCTTCAGAACTACCCTTCAGTAGTTGAAGGCTGCTACTAAATCCCCTCTTAGTCTTCTCAGGTGTGTCCACACATGCAGGCATGTGCACTTACAGCAGCTCAAATAGAAGTGGTGCAAATTTGAGCCAGGGCTTTTTGCCTCACCACACGTGCCCAGGCTTGCACTTTGGTGTGGTGCAAGTTGTGCCACTTGAGGCAAAACAACCCTGCCTGGCTCCTCCCAGATCTGCAGCCAGGGGGAGCTAGAGCCTGCTGGCATGCTGCCTGACCTGCATGGGTAGGCAGCATACTTCAGCACTGGAGTGAGAGCCAGCCATAGAAACACTCCGGCTAGCTGCCAGAGCAGCTCTGTGGAGGACCCAACTGCCCTGCTTTTTTCTCCTGGGGTACTTTTGGGTACAATCTTACCTAAAAGGAACTTCTTTTAGTGCTTTTCTTTTTGAAAAGGAATACTGAGAGAGGAGTGCATCCAGCATTATACTGCATAGCAATGAGTTTTTGTAGGGATTTTTTCAGTTAAAAAGCTTAACAAAGAAAAAACACAACAAAACAAAACCCCACAACAGCAGCAGCATGTTGAAATATTCAGTGCAATTTCAAACTCTTCTAAGTTTTTCCTAGCATTGCTAGAAAAAAGTCTCAACTTTTGAGAATGATAGAAAATGCAATATAACATTTATTTTCCAAAAAAGGGGTCAGAATTCTTTTTTGAACCCTCTGAGATGTTTTCTGGTTTTTTCTCCTTCCCTCAAATTCACCCTGGAGACATCCAAAGTTTCAAAGATTAAGGGCTTGATTCAAAGCCTGTTGAAGTTAACGGAAAGACATCTACAACTTTCAATAACCATGGTTTTCAGGAATGGAGAGTCATTTAGCTTCAACTTCAGATGTCCTATTTGAAATATCCTTAAGCAGTCCAACTTAAGACAGCTGTTAGTACTTTCTGAATGAGATCTTTCTAAAGGTCCTAGGTTGGGTATCCAAAAACTGAGGCCTCCAACACAGTAATCAAGTTTTTAAGTCTTGACCAAACTAGCTTTCAATCAAGCACTGTGTTGAAATAAACACCCAGACATTTGTTCTTGATCTGTAACTTATCCAAGTTCTCTGAATCTATTTGGTCTGCAAAACTGTGTTAGATATTTTGCAAGAGCAACCTTTCAAATGAGATTTCTGGCACTTCCTTATTTTTAACAAACTGGGAAGAAATATGAGAATAGCATTTCTGGCAGTATTTCAGCACTTCTGCTTCTGACCAGAATCAGAAAATGCAAAGGTAAACATGAATTTAAAATAATGAGGGGGAGAGAGCGATTAATCAACTCTACATAAGCTCCAGAAAGAACTTGGTTGCATCTTTTTAACTGCCCATTCATACTTTTCTGTGCGTTTAAACTGCATAATTATTCACTACATGTATAATATGTACCTTAAAAAGTGACTTCTTAACATACACTATATTAAAAGAACCCCCCCGTGAATAGTTAAAACCCAAACCAAAAGCAAATCAACACTTTATGACAATACATTATTCCATATACAGCTTCTATTTTTGTTTTTTGCTAGACCCAAGAGAAGAGATTTCTGATCTTACTTTATCTGCCTAGGTATTTACATGGCCTCTAGCCAAAGCTAGCTTGTGCTAGCTAAAGCTTGGAAAAAAGTCAAATACATATAAACCAAACACAGGCTGGGAATTCCAGCCACTAAACCAGCTGTCCTAACTCAAAATGAAGAGCAGCTAAAAGTAGGTTTTCCCCCATCTTTCAAGAAGAGAAGAAAAAGAGTAAATGCTTTTCCTTTTCTTGAAAGAGAAGAGAGAGCGGTGCCTCAGTCCCATCTAAGAGACAAGTGAAAGAGAAGCTGAGGTAATAGCTACACACTCATTTCCAGCAATGAAAAGTTGATTGATGAGTGCAGCTGAAGGAAGGAAGCTGCTTTAGCAAAGAGCTTGTGGCAAAAAAGGCAGGCGTGGGGAACATGAGCATAACAATAGTGGCAGTAACGCTTATTGAGAAAGTGCTAGGGCATCTACCATTTAGGACTGGAAATACTTTGCAAGGTAATAATATTTACTGCAGAGTGAGCCTAGGTGAGTGACATCCTGTTCTGAGCAGAAACATTACCTTGGCTTGGATGTGAGCAGCCACAGTACAAAACATGCCCAGACTATTATATCTTATTCACACTTTCCTCTGTCTGCTGCTTATATAACTATATATATATCCCATGCTTCTTTGCAGGGCAGTGAGCTGAGTCACTTACTAATTCTTCCTCTCTGAATTGTAGGTGAACTTTCCTTCCTTGTGCTCAGTACAGGAAGACACTGGAGACTATTAGTCACCACAAGTGATTTAATCTGAATCCCCAATGCAAAGTACACAGGCTACCAGCTCAGGTGGAGGTAGGACCTGGGCTATAGCAGTTCCAGTTCCAGCTGTACCAGCTGGCCAGGGCTTAAAGAACCACTCAACTTGGGCAAAAGGGTTTTGTATGTAAAGAGGAGGGGATGTTAGGACTGACACCCAAGTATGAGCCTGTGCTAATTCTGCAGTAAAGCGGTATCCTGCATATTATTATTATTCAGGCTCCTCCTAAGAAAAACTCTCCTCGTTAACTCCAAGTTAGCTCCTTCCGTTTTCTCTGTGCTCATTAACTACACTAGAAAAGCACAAGCAGCATGCAAGCAAACTCAAGACTCAAAGCAGCAAGCAATGACCTTCTGACTTGCTACTCCACTAAATATTTTGAAACACTAACTCCAATAAAACTAAACCTGTTATAGATTTGCAAAAACACGTTCTTTAAAATTTACTAATTTGTGTGATGAACAGAAGTAAGTTTTGGGAAGCCTCTCCAAGCATCTCTAATTAATTTGTCGTTTGGGCCCTTATGTTTTAATAAGAAAAGCAGACATCACAAAAGTGCTGTTTTGTTTATTTAGAGCAGAATGAAAAGCAAATTACAATGAAGGTGTGCAACATCCACTGGCAACAGGTAATTTGCCAAGAATGATAAATATAGCAATGAAATTGGATTTCATGATAGCATTGTACAGGGGCTTTTAAAAAATAGCCTCTCCTTCAGTGTTGTTAATGCATTTCCAGTTCCAGCTCTGATATTCATTTAAACATAGAAGTATTTTAAAAAGGAGGGGGTGGGTAAAGAAAAACAAATCTTACCATGTTAGGAACATGAAATGGGATGCTCAGTTTGACTTTAACTTAAAACAGAAGAGAGGAAAAATTCTTATCTTTAGCAAACCCATTTGCCCAACTCCATGGGCAGTACCACACAGAACAGCAGTGACACATATAAATATTGTTAAGGGCTAGATGATAATACCATTATTCATGCTAAATGGTACCTTACCCCACAAAAAACCCTATTGAAGTTACTGGAGGTATCAGATTCTAATACATTGTTAGAAGTGGGTGTATCTACATGTTCATTAATGAGCTGTAATTATGGTGCAATACTTTGCCCTGCTTTGTTGTTTTTTTCCAAAACTTAACAATGAAAGTAGAACCAGAGCATTTGTGCAAATTCCATTTTGAAAATAGAGCACAGGAAATCACAGTTCTATCCTGCATTTGCAAAATTTCTAGAAGGAGCTGGGTATAAAAAGGAAGCTACAAAACAGTTAATTTACAAGATAACCCACTTCCTCTTTAGAGACTGTCAGTCCATCCTGATTTACGTAGAGTAGGTTTTCCTGAATTTTAGATTATAAATATATTAACAGTTCCTCATATTTGTTCAAGTCACCAAAAACAACTCTCAATGATTTATAGTAACTTTTTAATTTGTTATTCTTATCTCAAAATGGATCAAATGTCAGAAATGTTGCCATTCAGTGGATGTGTTTACACATGCATTTACACCGGCTTAAATGTATTGTATACTAAATTATTGTGCAGTAAGTGGGAATAGGCCAGTGTCTACACATGCAGGCATTATGGTGCATTAATGCTGTATGTGGACTGACTTGGGACTAAAGTTAGTCCCAAGTCAATCCACACATACAGTGTTACTGTGCAGTATGACATCTACATATGCATTACTATGCAGTAACTAATCAGGCATAAGTCAGCATAAGTCACTATATTTACTGCACAGTATGGGTGTGCTACACATGTAGACACGCACCCGTACTGCACAGTAATTTTGCTTACTACACAGTAAATTCACACATATAGATGCAACCAGTGATTCACCTCTGAATACATCTTAAATGCCTTCTGTACTATACATCATCACCACCATTTCTCCAGCTGCCATCCCTGTAACTACAATATAATAGAACAAAATGCTAAAAATATTCCTTAAGGGTACATACAGGCATTACATTTAGATGGATCTAACCAGGGTCAGGTTGATCTAAATGCCCAGTCATACATGCAAGCAGAGGGCTTAAATCACTACAAAAATGGCAGGCCTGATCTAAGTTAGTTCACCTCAAGATTGTGCTAACCCGATCTAAGAAAGTGTTAACCCAAGGTTAACACATCCTTAATGATGGTACAGGTTTGCAGGACAGCTCCTGGGCTTGGAAAACCCAACTGTCTGCTCCAGCTCTGAGGCTGCACTGTACCATGCCCCCCACCCAACTTGACTCGGCTATTTTTAGCCCCCTATTCCCTCTCCCCACTGAAACCACCTGCCCAGCCCCAGACCTGCTCACTCCCCCTGTGGACCTGCTAGTCTCCTTCCCCCTGAAATCCCATCTACCCCTCTCCTCACCCCAAGTTACTTATACCTGTTTCCCCACATGGCTCCCAGCACCAGCAAACAGTAGCACATGCTGCTCCTGATCTATATTCTCATGGGTTAAAGGAAGCCACATGAATACAGACCAAGCATGGCAAAAGACTGCATGTATCCTAAAAAAGTAGCTGAACTTCAAATTTACAGTGGATTATATGAGACATTTGACTAACTTTTAAGTGCCAGCTCCTGCAAACCTTTCTCAAGCAAAATTCCTGTGGACAGAGAGGTGCCAAGAAAGCATTTA